AACAGTAGTTTAAGACGATGGGCCGGTGAGACAGTTTGATCACACATCTAACCAATGTTTGGTACATTCATGGAGGGCTGGTGCACCTTCATGCAATCTTCATGGATCTGGTGGTGACACTCTCTTATAGGACACCTTTGCTCCCTTCTGTGTGAAAGTTCAAATGTATTGGAAACACATTACCTTTGCTCACTTTGTAGGGCTCGCCTGGAAATACAGAGTATTTCCCTGACACTCCCTTACCTTGTATTGTTCTGGGTGAATCACGTCCTTCTTGGGCCCAGTGCTGGCACCGTCATTATCGGATGGGATTCCATTGGGTCCTGGCTCTCCGATGTCACCCTGTGTATTGTGGAACAAAAACATTTGCTTTCAATTGAAAAGAGACAATGAAGCTTGAATCAAAGCAGGGTCCCGCCGCACCACCTGTGAATGTTTGTCCTGTAGGTACCACATGTGTCACTATTTCGGAGAGTACTAAACATCATGTAAAATGATCTGTAGCCTTTGATTTTCCTTCAGAATGCATGGATAACAGCCCATGATTTCTTTCAGAGAAGACTTTGAGATTGTTTGAATTTGGGGCCTGTGTTTGATTCTGAGGGATTCGTTCCTTAGGGTAACTTCCTACGCATCGAAACAATTGGGTCTGAAGGAGAAATGTCTTTAAGGCTCTTGAGATGGGCTACGCTACTGACTTCCACCACACAGCATCCCAAACGAAGGATTAGGCCAAGGTCACCACCACTTCACCAGCTAAGGGTTTTTAAATACTAACATTACGCTTCTTTGATAATATAACACCTCACAAGTACTTTGATTTGCATTGTTATCCCAAGTCACAAATACTTTTCTAGGTATGCTATCATTTCTTCTGTGAATTGCTTGGTCACTTTCCATCTATTTGTTGGGGCCTTGACCTTAGTAATCTGATTAATAAGATGAATAAACTCTTTGAAGAGTATAGTCATTAACTCTATTTCCATTAGATCTAATGAGATTACCCTCCACCCAATGATTTTTTCCAACCTTTCTCTTCAGCTTATTTTATTCATTTATCTTGTTATATTTCATTTTATGAAGTCTCTTGGCCGCTGCTTCTAAGCCATAGCATTTTCGATCACTTCATATGCATGTGACAGTTGGATGCTGAATAAGGCCGACTAAAGAGGGGCACCTGCATGTGAATTATGTTGTTGGCACAGAATATTGAAAGTACTATGGATTGCCAGAAGGACAAACCAATCTGTTCTGGAAGGACAACCAGAATATTCCTTAGAAGCAAGGATGGCAAGACTTCATTTCACACGAGCAGTCCCTGCACAAGGACCTCATGCGTGGTAAAGTAGAGGAGCAGTGAAGGAGGGGAAGATACGATGGGTCCACAGACTGGCTGCAACACTGGATTCAAACACAATGGGGAGGGTGAGCAAGACAGGGTGGTGTTGTTTCTGCTGCACAACTCACGATGAGTTGGAACTCACTCGACGATGCCTAACAACAACAGTCATGATAAAACAAACAAACAAACAAACAAACAAACAAACAAAGCCCTTAAAGAGGTCAAAGGAATCTGGCTATTTCCCTGTGAGTAAATGGATTTATTGGTGGCATGAGATTTTATGTTTGTGAGGGTTTCTGGTTGTTTCTAAGCTATGATGCACTTACTACATGCTCCTTGGGTGACGGATACTGTATTGTACCTTTTGCACATATTCTCTCATTTAATCCTCTCAACGGCTAAGAGGTCCTTGGATCTCAGGGTAGTGGAGGCTTAACACGTTCACATAATCCTCTTTCCTGCTTTTGAGCCCCAGCAGAAATGGCCACATCACATAAGCCTGAGCTGGCTGCATGGTTGTCTTCCACACTTATATAGATCTCAGTCACTCGCCAGTGTATTCCACACGGCACTCTTGGTGTGATGTTTTCATTTGTCACGTGCCTGTAGTTACCTCAGAGGCAATCTCTAAATTCACACCCACCCTGTCCCCTGTAGATGGGGAAGGCCAGAGGAAGGGGGAGGTAATCCACCAACAGGTCTCATCTGGTGCTCTCTCTGCCCCATTTCTCCTCTGCTATATTGCTGTTGTGTCTCTGTGTTGGAGATCTATTGTAAACCAAGATGGATGACTACAAAGAAATGTTGTGGAAATATGTATTATGAAAAACTGGCATGGAACCACTTTTGAATGTGTATTATTTATATTCACCATGGGCAACCATCACCACGATCTCTTTCCAAAATGTTCATCATCCCAGACAGAAGTCCAGTACCTCTTAAGTATCGCCACTCCCTCCTCCCGTTAAATTTCTTTGTTAATTGTTAAATACGGCATGCATTAGCTTTAATCTATTAGGCTCTCTTTGAATCACCATCACATTTTTATCTCTTTGCATTTCTCTATCCCACTGCCCAGAGGGGGGCTCCAAGCACTGTGTGAAAAGTGGAATTAATAGACAACCAAAGTTGCTCATGAACTTTATGAAGTCCCTGTATACATGCCCCCCATGGTTCATTCAGTCATCTGTCACAGGCACATAGGTTGTTTCCCCCTTTATGGCCATCGTGAAAATTGCTGCAGTGAACATTGGTATCCAAGCAGATGGTCCACTGTCATTGTCTTATTGGTTCCTAAACGAATCACTGGAGCATGTATGCTAATTTGGCACCCGACTGATTATTTTCACAGCCAAATTTCTGTTGGCATTGTGGCTCAAGACAGCAATAGGAGATGCATTAATTGAAATGATCTGTTTTCTAATTGTGACGTAGTGCCTGCCTCAGCTTTCATCTACAGGTCTCCTTACCTTTTCACCTTTTTCTCCATAAAAACCAAGTCCTCGGTTGCCCTGAAAAGATGGACGGACTTGATAAGTTTTAAAAAGTAAACCCCAAAGACAACCAAACCCGCCGTCACTGAATCCATCCCAACCCACAGCGGTCCTCTAGGGCAGAGCGGAGCAGCCTCAGGCTTGCCAAGGTTAGAAACCCTAAAGGAAGCTGCCTGCCACATCTTTCTCCGATGGGTTTGAACTGGCCACCTAGTGGCTAACAGCTGAGTGGTTAGTGCCCGCACCACCGGGCCACAGTGAAAGGATGTTTCAGAAAAGGAAACGAGACATGCGCTATCACGGGAGAACTAGCCTTGTATAAGCTGGTTTCAGCCCCTGGAAACCAACTGACATGAGGAGGAAAATACGTTTGTTTGTTTTCCTTCCCTCTTTTGTGACTTCTTTATGTAAAGTATGTGATAGAACTGTGAGCCTGGTGCGCAGGAGCAAACTTGACCCTGTATCTATCCCCTGCAGAAAGCGGCACTTCACGTGTCTTGTGAGCATCTACTGAGATGGTAACCCAAACTCAAAGCCACGGCCAGTGAGTCGACTCCAAGACATAGAGACCATATCGGGCAGAGTAGAGCTACTCCTGTGGGTTGTTTCTGAGACTGTGTGTTCTGTATGGGAGTAGAAAGCCTCCTCTTTCCCCTTTGGAGCAGCTGGTGGTCTCAAACTACTGACCTTGTGTGTAGCAGATGCAATGTGCAGTTCCCCTTGCACCAGACCCAACCTCAATGCCCTGGGGTCAATGCTGACTCATGGTGACCCCTGTGGGTTTAGTGTGTGTGTGTGTGTGTGTGTGTGTGTGTGTGTGTGTAAACAATTGTGACTCTGGCTGCTAACGAGAAGGCTGGGGATTCAATTGTACCCTGAGGTGCTTTGGAAGAAGCTGAGAGATCTACTTTTGGAAGTCCTGCGATGAAAACCGAGTGGAGCATGCGCACACAGTGTCACACACACGTGTCGCCATGGCTTGGCGTTGACTTGACAGGGACTGGTTTTTTATTCTCTTGCTACAGAAGCCTAAACTGATGGCCTGTGAAGAAGTCATGTAGTTTATACTCTCAGCAAACCTGCCATCAGTGAGCTGAGATATTCCCTAGGGGAAAGCTTGGCATTTGCATTTGAAACATCTTACCCTTTGGAAAATGCACTTCATTATTCTTCCTACCTCTCGGTTATTGGGCACTTCTAATAGACCAGAGCAAAGCAGTAACTGCCCACCATCACAGCCACCCTGTTGGACAGAGGCTGTGAATCTTAATGGGAGCAGACAGGCTCATCTCTCCCGGGAGGGCTCCAATAGCTGCCCCATTGTGGTTAGCAGCCCCACACCTGGGCTCTGGGCTCAAGGCTGCAGTCTCTTTTGCATATCCTGTGTTTCACAGGCAGTGATATGCTGAGAGTCTTGTTTTCTGACCAATGTCTAGCACTCCAAACCAAACTCAATCCATCCAGTCAATGCTGACTCATAGTGATGCCCTGTGGATTTCCGAGATAACTGTTTATGGGAGTAGAAAACTCAGTCTTTCTCCCGCAGAGCTGCTGGTGGTTTTGAACTGCTGATCATGCAGATCGCAACCAAATGCCTAGCCATTACACCACTAGAATTCCTAGTGTCTAGCACTAGTCAGTGGTATATAATGTGGCTTTCTCTCACGCATTACCACAGCATCTCTAAAAGCTGTCATCTACGAGCATTTTCTGGTTCTGATCCCCTGTACACTTAGGAGGCAGCCCGTTTTTCCTCCACTGGAGGACATATTTGAAGATCATTGTTCATCCCCTCTCTTTTTACGTCAGCCTTTTTCTCATTTTGGGACAACAATCTCAATTTCATATAAAATACCCTTTGGCTATTTAAGGACCCCTGCTGGGGTTGTGGGTAAGAAGAGGGGCCACCCGCAAGGATTTTACCTTAAAGGATTTAAGGTAAAAATCCTTTTTCCACAAGGATTTTAACCTTAAAGTTCTAGAGAGTAGTTCTACACAGGGTCTCTCTAGGGGCGGTGCTGGTGGCTAAGTGCTGGACTGCTGACTATAAAGCTATTGTTTCAAACCCCAGCGCTTCTTCGTTGAAAGAGGAAATGATCGCTCCCATAAAGACTGACAGCCTAGGAGACGCCATGAGTCAAAATTCACTCGATGGCAATGTGTTCGGCTTTTTAGTCTTGTTATTTTTTCGGGGAAGGGTCCTTTGGGTTTTAGCAAACCACCTCAGATTCCTTTTTAGCTTAAGGAACCAAGCCATGGCCTAGTCACTCAGCAAAGTCGTTAGTAGTTTTCTGAACAAAATTGCTGCCTATGGGCAAAGTGACTCACCTCTGATGTATAAAATGGGGACACAGGAAACACTATGCTACAAACGCACAAGCGTTCTATAGAAAGGGTGATCTTTGTCCTTTACACCCAAACCACTTGGCTCCTTCCTCAGGGTTTCCCTGTTCCCATAGTGACAGGGCCCATCGGATTTTTCTCTCTGTGGGGGAGTGCCTGCCCCCTCACATGCCCAGAGTCCCTGACACTAAAAACAAAGTCTTTAATTAATGTTAGCCTTTCCCCTTCTTTCCCAGCTGCCTGGGAGCTGAAGTCAAAGCGCAGAGAATAAGCCTGCCTAGAGTGGACTGCAATATGTTTCGGTCCCCCGCGGTCATTCTCTGCCTCTTGAGCTGGCTGTCCAAGTCCCCAGGAAATGGCTTGGTCAGGGGGTGACGAGGGCTGTTTGTCTTTGCGGCGGCCAGTGGAGATCTGAGGCTCTTGCCTGAGCCTGCAGCTTGGCTCTGCTTTCTTGGCCCTGGCTGCCCTGTGCTATATCCGGTGCTCTTGGCTCTGGTCCTTTCCCATCCTTCTCAAGGCTGCTGGATGGGGGGTGGGGGTGGGGGCGGAGAGAGGTCCAGCAGAGGATGCTGGATGTGACAGGAGCTGGGAGCACTGGGTGGTGGCAGGAGGTCACGGAAATGGGATTTCACACCTGGAGCATTCATTTTAAATGTGCCGCTTTGGATATGTCCCTCACCTGAAGGCCAGGCAAGGGACTGGTTCTTAAAAGGTTCGTGAACAGTGGGCCAGAACTGCGTCCTGTCTAGTTTGATGAAATACTTCCCTGGTCAACTTGACTTTGCGTGTTTGGGCCATTTCTCCTTCCCAGGCTATCACGAAGCCAAGTTCTTAACTGCCACCCACCTCGCTGTCCTCCGGCAAGCTTAATCTGCTTCCTCTGATGGAAATAATAGAACGTGAGGCTTTAGTTTACCAGGGGCCCGGGTGGCACAGTGGTTAGGCGGTGGGCTGCAATCCAAAAGGATGGCAGTTTGAAACCACCAGCAGCTCTGTGGGAGAAAGAATGGGCTTTCTACGCCCGTAACAGTTGCAGTCTTGGAAACCCACGTGTGTGTGTGTGTGTGTGTGTGTGTGTGTGTGTGTGTGTGTGTGTGTGTGTGGTGGGGTGGGGATCGTTATGAGTCAGCACTGACTCGATGGCAATGAGCTTGGTTTTGGGTTTGGAGGCTTTCATCTGACCAGAATATCACTGAACGCATCCCTAGAGACCGACGTTAGACTTGTATAATCTCGTTCTCTCCAGGTAGAAGAATGCCCTTGGCCTCTCTGTACCAAGGAGAGCTGTGACCGCTCCACTCTCATCATTGGGTGTGCACTGTCCAGTCGATTCTGATTCCTACAGTCACGCTACAGGACAGAGCCGGACTGCGTCACAGAGGGTCCTAGGCCAGGGGAAAACTGCCAGGGATCCCATCCTGGAGAGTCACTTGTGGATAAATGTGAGTGGTCCCCGCTTTCTCTAATCTCCGTGTATTAGTTTGATTTTTACACAGCACCGGGACTACTGGGATTCATGTGTGTGCCGCAGGACATTTAACAGAGTGACTATTTATGCGGCAGGCTCTCGAGATGCTCTCGGATTGACAGCTGTCGTTTAAAACTGAGTTTGAGGAACAAAGATCTATAGAATGGCTCTGAGCGTACAATCCACAAATACGCCAACCAACTAGTTCTACCAGTAAAACACAGACCTACATCTGAATCCCAGGCCCCTACGTTCCCGTGCCCCCTCCCCTTCCTCCCACAAGGCCAACTTACTTGCTCTCCTTTCGGTCCAGGGGGTCCGGGTGGTCCCTGCACAAACACAAAGAGATGTGTAAATTGTTTTCTTTCGCCTGGGACCCAGATAACATCTGCTGGGAAACTCTGGGAAAGCCATTAACTGTATATTTAAAACATCGTGTAGGGCTCACAGAGGTTTCGGATTCATTTGTTTCTGTAAAGATGAAAAGCTGGATGGTCAGAGAGACAGTGCTCAGTTCTCAGAATCTGCTGGCTGTCTGCGTACAGCTGTTTTCAGTTTGCTTTTTGTGTGTGGAGGCTTTTGACTCCACTCATGTCCTCTTTGTGTTGGTTCTGATCTCTGCCCAGGTCCCAGGGCCTGGGACTGCAGGGCCTGTTTCTCCTCTCTTCCTCTGGGATTCCCCCACAGGACACTGTCGAGCAGATTGGGGTAGTGGTTGAACAAAGGCTCCCTGACAGCATGCATCTTACAGGTCTGCACCGCAGGGATGGCAGGCCATCAGCACATGGCTGCAGAGCTTGCAGGGCCCGCCCCAGGTCCAGGGGAAGCGCATTCGCATTGCACTAGAGGAGGAATGGGTGTCCTTGTACAAAGAAGGAGAAGCCAAGAAGGGGGCAGGTTGGGGACGGTGAGCTATGTTCATCCGTGTGAAGAACTTCAATCACTTAGAGGCTACACTCTGCTATTTTAGAGTTCTGTGCATTGATTGTATAGCAATTCCAAAGTGGGCCATATGGGGGGACAACCCCAAAGGGGAAGTTTACTCTCATGCATGCAGTGGAGAGCAAACATTTTGCATCATGTAATCCTTATTTCAGTCCACCTGGAGAAATCTTTTGTAGTGAGAGAGCTACATGCAAGTGTGATTTTCACAGCATTAGGGAACAAAACAGAAAGTCTTATTATCATTATTTTTTTTATAGTCTGAAGGAAATTTATGAGTAGTTCCACCTCAACTATTAGTATGGCTGTTTCTCCATCTATACCATGCCTTTGTTGTTGTTCAATATCTGTCGTGATCAATTGCTAGCTTTTCTCCAATCTTGAGCAACAGTTTTCCGTGACGAGGTCTTTATCTGGCTTAGCTGGAATCTTTCCATGTGTCACCTCAGGCTAATTCCTATTACTTGCTAAGGACATTTAGGGAATGAGTGAGTCCGAAAGCTCTTCCCAGGGCCCAGTTCGCCTAGAGTTTCATGTGGATCATGGAGCCGTGGTGTAAAGGCTGAACAGGGATTATTCTGCTTTCTACTCTTCTCTTTCTTGGAACCACTCCTCCATCATTCAAGTATATGTCCCGTCTCACTTCTTTCTACCCCTGGGTTGGAAGGAGATGAAACAATGCAGACGACCACTCTGCTGGGACTCAGGACGCCTCACAAATTGATGTTCAACATCTCCCTTTCTGTAACTGCTGTGACCACCTAAGTGTGCTGACTCAGCTTTCCCCCTCCGCACCAACATGTTGGGCTTGGGTCTGCTTTGTCGGGAGATGTCAGGTTCCCATCAGGTGGGCAGGTCTGAGGTTGCACCTGACTGGAAGAGCACCCAGGCAGCCCAGGTCAAAATGTGACATGGTTGGCAGTGATCTGGTGACCGTATATTGACTCATTATTCTCTCACCTAACAAGAATGTTCAAAATGTAGGTATAGAATGAAGCATGTGTCCTGATAATTTCTAACGGGACTACAGGAACATAGCTTTGTTGTAAAACATTTGCTTCCATTTAAGAGCTGAAGAGGTTGCCCCCATAAAGGGCCCACTAGTATGGTACTTACTGGTCTTCCTGGAGCTCCAACTGGACCCATTGGTCCCACACTCCCAGGGCGACCAGGAGGCCCCTGTGAACATGCAACAAGAGCATGGTTTTAAAAGGTGCAGACGGGTATTTGGACTCGTACAGTTCTTAAGACTTTTCTTAGGTTATTCTCCAGTTTAAAAAAAAAAGCAGAAAGAGAGAGACTTACCTGGTACCCAACCAATCCAGGCTCTCCAGTTTCACCCTAATTGAGAAGAAATCATTTCAAGAGTTAGCGCTTTGAAGCATATTTAGGTTTAGTTATATTTTATTGCAGTGTTGGAAATAAGCACATGGAACGATATCAACCCCATCTCTCTTTCTTTAAGTTCTCACATATTATTTGCTATGCATGTGAGATTTCTGTGACACTAGTGCAGTGTCGAGTGCATGCATGTGTACATATACTTTTGACAGGCATGCCAAGGTAAATCCATAACATGTGCGTTCAAAAAAGAATAAGCTGTGTCAGTTTCTTAATGGTCATTACTTTCAAATTTTAATTTTAGTAAAGTAGAAAATTCAAATGGGGATCTTTCACATTCCTTATACTTCTCAATGACATTTAGGAGCAAAAGTGACATGCTGGACAGGGCTTTGGGCTCGAGAGAGAAACACTCGGTACAGGGAAGGAGGGTCGACATGAAATTTATCGCTCCTCAACTTCCTTCCTTGTGTGTAATCATGGGTGACAGATCAAGTGTAGCAGGGGCAGCCATGGAAGATGCTCAGTGAGGAACATGAGTCAGAAATTTTAGAAGGGTCAAGTCCATGCATAGTAATATTAGACACCCTCCTACAAAGATGCTTCATGTGGGAGTACTACACACTTTACTTGTAGACAGTAAGATACAAGTTAAGGCCTCCAGGGAATCTCCATACAGTGAAAGTGAAGAGAACCCAAGGCCATTAACTGCATGACCATATAGACATCTGCAGAGTTGTACATGCGGATGCAAACATGTCCTCAGGAAGAAGCGGTGTCAAAGAGTCCCTAGTGCGGCTCTATGGATGGAGTCAAGAGATCGACAGACACCTAGATCACAGAACTGCAGAATGGAAGTTGACAAATAATCTGAACAACACGCATGTTTTCACAGGTGAGGAAACTGAGTCCACAGCAGTGAAAGGGCCTAACCAAGCCAACCCGCAAGGTAGTGGCTCAGCTGAGGTTAGAGAGACTGGGTCTCTCCACATTCAGCCTGACCTTTTAATACAGTGCCATCTCTTCTGATAATTTCCCCACATGCTGTTTGCCACTCTCTTGGCTCAAAATGTGTTTGTATCCTTAACAAGGATTGCTGTTTGAAGCCACTAATAGAGATGTAACAATTAATATAGACTGAGTAGTATTGTTTTAGTCTTTCACTCTTGTTCTGCATTAATTAACTGACATAGGAGTGTGACGGGGTATGATATATTAGTGAAGAGGCTCAGAACAAATCAGTCACCAGTCAGTATTGTGTAAGACACTTCAGCCATTATGTTCTAAATTCATCACAGAAATGATCTGCCTTTTCTCTCTCCATCCACCTAGGAAACACGGAGTAGAAACACCATGGACATATCTGTGAAGGGCAGTTTTGCACTATTCTCTCAGAAGGGACACAGGAAAGAAGATGAGACAGAAATAAAATAATTTTAAATGGATCATAATTTTGGATTATTTCACCATTTTGTGCAGTCTTCGAATGCCTTCACCCTTATAACTTAGTACTCACTTGGTAGTTAACTTTACCAATTGAAAACTATACTGAATATTTTCATTACATTTTATATTTTATATCTCTAGCAGACTTACCCTGTATTTGTCTCGGTCCTCTTGGGATAATGCATAAGGTTCGCCTTTCTGTCCTTTGGGTCCTTGAGGTCCCTAGATCAACAATATATTAAACACACACACACACACAATACACAAGTCCATTAGTGTTTACTCCAGCGATAGTCATTTGCATGCATATACACTGAGTCTTATGTATGCAACGTCTCATTCCTCTTAGGGCTGATTTCACTTATTCTGAACCCCAATGACTGTATTCAACAGCAAGAGTGAGGCTTTTCACTTCATATTTACCAGACAGCATCTTTCATCAAAGTCAAATAGAAATTCTTTATGGAATTTAAATTATCCTCACAAACCCACATGGACTCTCAGCAAATGGATTCGTGCATCTACCAGTATGTTATTTTTCTTTTTAATTTTTGGGGTTTTTTGTGTGGCCATTATTTATTTGCCATTTTTGCACTAATAGAAGCACATATACTGTTTATTACCTTTTGGTGGAGGAGAATTGGGGCCTTTGTTTAAAACTGTGTGGAGTTTTACTCCATGTGTACATATGCATGTGTGCACAGAAAGATCTTTTGCATCTGCATAGGAGATGAGTACTTCGATGCTGTGGGTCTATTTCTTTATAATTACATGATGGCAATAAAAAATGCTCTGTCTGTTGGTAAAATGAACAGGAACAGACAATGAAGGGGGACCCTAAAAGGAAAGCTGGGTGTCGGAGAATTCTGCAACTTTGAGGGTATCAGCCTGGGGAAGGGACGGAAGACTCTTCTTCCTCCATGTGCGTTTGAAACAACAGTGTTACCAGAGGGAATTTTAGCACAACCTAGGCCCCTGCAAGGTTTTGGTGGTGAGAGGGCACAGTGTACTCTTGCGGGGGGAAAAAGGTCAGAGCACTTTGCTACGATCCTAAAAACCAGATGAGACCGCAAAGAAGATATGCTGGAGAACAAGAGGACGATGCTTTCACAGGCTTTCAGACCAGTTAACATCTGTCAATTAATTTAAATTGGGTCACAAAGGATCATCTAGTCTAATTTTCTAATTTATTAGAACATTTTGTTAAGGCTTGATTTTTCTTCCAGTCGACATTTCTTGCATATAATAAACTGACTATATATTTTTTACCACACGGGTATATCTTTATAAGTATCCACATGAACTAAAAACGTCTGATACTTTATTGTGAAGTTGAAGTCATAGGAAAATACTATCATTCTGGAAATAGAAATGTACCAATATTTTCTAATTGACACAGAATGAAATCCAAGTTTAAAACTCTATTATTCATAACAATACTATTGTTTTAGCTCCTTCCCCGTCGTCTCTCTTACTCTGAAAGCTCTGTTGAAACCCATCATGGGTGACCCAGCTCCTATTTGGGGTACCAGTGACACAGCTTCCAGAATGAAAGAAAGACACACGTCAGCACCGTGCGACACACTGACGAAGCAAGGACGATAAGGAAGGAGACTAGGCAGGCCACTGATCAAAAATTAGGGCTTAAACTTTTATCATCTTCTTTTATTTCACTATCATGCCATTTACTGCCAATCACACAGGACTAGGGGAGAAGATGCAGGGACATTTGGGAGGCAGTCTGGGCTGCAGATGAAGCCTGGGGAGCATGATGCTGAAGACCTCGGCTGTTAACTGTGAGGTGCGTGGACCAGGCCTCCCAGCCTAGCCCTGAGAGGAAAGAACTGGTGCTTTGTTTCTATAGAGATTTACTGCTTTGGAAACCGCAGGGGGAAGCTCTACTCTCTCCTATAGGGTTGATGTTAGTCCAAAGCAAACCGACAACACACAACAACCTGAGCAAAACAATACAAACATCAACCCATTATTTCTAGCTAAGATGTAAATGGTGACTACAGAGAATTATTTGAATCTAGTGAAATCATGCCTTGACCCCTGTAGGAATACGTTAGCAGAGAGGCATGCTTCTGTTCTCACCACTC